GATCCATTAATAGATCTTTTTGTAGATGTTCAGATAAATATTTCCAAAAAGAGGGTCTAACAAATTATCCGATAATTTTCAATCCATAAAGATTACAGTAAAAGAAATTGGACCTCACAATTAACAGAATATAATTCCAGCATTCCTAATGAAGACTAATTTGGCTTAATTGCGGTAAAAATCTATATAATAAGACTGTTAAAGGAATTAATTTTAAGAACATTAAAAGCTTTTGTATTCATCCTTATATTTGTTGATGTCCTAGTAAAATTTTCTTACATTTTAATTTTCAATCTATAAATGGGTAAGGATAATTTTTTAATAAATTAATCTGAGTTGTAATTCTAATTTAATGACTTTGTGAATTATCTCTTTAATTAAGGTCTGAATGAAAGAGCTGCACAATTATTAATTAATATATTTGATTTGCTTTTTCTCTAAAAAATTTATCAATTGGTCAATAAGATTACCTGCACCTATAAACAAAAATAAAAATATTGTTACCTCATACATTAGACTGATTCTACTTCTTAATTTAAGATTAATTTTGACTCCTCAGGTTTGTTTCCAATGTTTTCCTGCTTATTGTGTAATTTTGGCATTAGAAATTTTGATAAAAAATTAATATAAATTATATTCTACAAGTATCGAGATTCTAGTTTTACTCCACTAATTTCAATGAATTCATACCATTTCTCGTCCAGTTGTAAGCGATGTTTTATTTCTCTTCATTTATGTCTTAGATTGTGAGTTTAGCTATATAGAGTTTCAGAGAATTTGAACATAAGTGCTAGTCGTTTAAGAGATTGGAACTTTCTTTGATGAGGTTGAAACTAATACTATTTCTAAGCTTCGCATATCATATTAAGAATGAAAATAATAGAATACCAAAACTGGATTAGCCAGATCCTTTATTTAACACACACCTAGCCAACCAAGATAGAATGCTGGGGATAAAAATTAGATTTTGAATTTTTGAGATGGGCTATTTTAAATTATAGAGTAGGTGAGAGGTCCAATTACATTAATCCATTTGGAAGACCCTATAAAGGCTTATTAATATATGGGTTACATTAATAAAAAGCTTGATATGTTAATCTATATAATGAAAGGGCTTATCATATTTACTTATATAAAGATATTACAGGTGTTAGTATGACAAGGGTGTAATTATTGATATTTTTGGATGGCTTTGGATAATATTTAGAGAAATATTAGTGAAGCCATAGTTCAAATAACTTAAATCCATGCTTGAAACTATTGGAGATGAAATTTAGGGTATTATTAGAGCCCATAATCATTAAAGATAGCATAATATAAGCATTTGAACTTATTCTTATCATGTTTTTTCATCTAATCATGCATTTTTATTATCTGTATTATTGATTTAATAAAAAGTGACGATCATTTAGTATGCATGAATCAGAAATGCTACGCAGAATTCAATTGCAATTGACATTTAATTTAAATAACCAGTAAAAATTCAATATTCAAATGAAAAAATAAAGTAATTATGTCGATCAATCTTATGTTGGGAGGAATGGAAATATATTTAAAAAGGAAAAAGTGAATATACTCACTTTGAGTTGATAATTAAATAAATTAAATTGTGCATCATTATAAGTTTTATTTTATATTAATTAATTTGTTAAATTCTTCATTTGAAAATTTATTTGCATAAAATTTTTAGTTATTCTTTACAAGTTAATTCAAAACTCGTTCTCAGAATTAAAATAATCATAGAGTTTAGGGTATCTGGCCAATTTACAAAAATCTTTCGTTACAAAATTTTACAAACTATGATAAGAAACTATCAGAATTCTACTCAGGTAAATTATCCTTGTAATGGTAATTCGACTGTCCGAAAGGCAAATGCCATTACGGTTACTCATTATTTCCTTTTATTACACAACGCACTACTAAAAGGTAGGCTTGATGTACTTCTCCTAAATAAAAAGGGACGGATTTCATTTTTTCCCAATTTGAATTAATTTTTCGTATGAACTGATTGTGACTTATCATCAATTTAATTCAAATGTGATGAATTTATGTGCAATTCTTGAAAAAATAGATGAAATGATTCTCAAAGAAATCTCGTTTACTGAAAACGACCCTTAATATTGAACCATTCATATTGACTCATACAACTATCAGGATAATTGTCAGATAAAGATTTTGAATCCAATTATGTTTAAAAGTGGAATTATAATTCGAGTCTATGCAGGTATACTTTGAAAAAGTGATAATTAAAGAAAAACTATCGAAAAAAGATTTATCTGCGCATCTTTATATAAAATCTAAAATGGTCACAGCTATTTCATCTCTTAATCATGAGGATATCAATCTTATTTTGTATTAAAGAGCTGGTGAGTCAGAATATTGATGACCTAAGAAATCGCTCCAGTTTCAAGAAGCCCAAATAGAGGCAAACTATTTAATAATGCTGCCTTCATTCAAAAGCCACTCATTTAAGATTATCTTTTAGAATTATTGTGAAAGCTCCAGTGATCAATGTAGAGGTTTAGGAATGGAATACATAAAGTTTAACACTTTGTTGGTTCTATATTTTGTTCGAGGGCAACCTTAGGGATATATTTGCTTAATAAAGAGTAGGTAGTGATCAAAAATATCATTACCAATATGAAAGTTTGGAATTTAAGATGAGAGTTCCACTAAGGCAAGACATTGTCAGATTATAATTCTCATGAAATCTATTCACTTCAATTTCTGTCATATAAATAAAAAACTAAGAGGTGATTTGTGAAAGCCACTGGTTTCTTATTTAGTTTTGAAGGATTAAGGTTTTTACATAGCAATAATAATATTATTAAAATGAGGTCTTTAAAATTATTGAAATAGTTTGTATTTGCGAATACTAAATAGTATTATTAACTTTATGGTTTTCTTGATTGGAATGGCAACATTCTAAATTAGATTCAATATATTTGGTTAAATCAGCACCGTCCTATTGATTTTGAAATGAGAGTTTCTTTAATCTTTTTCTTCTGAAAGGCTAAAAAATAGAAAATTTGTATTTATATATAGGATTGAAGTTCAATTCGATATTTTCAGCCAAACTAAATTTGAGATTATCAGAGTAGAAATATTGTTAAAACCTTTACACTTATGAATTAATCATTTTTTATCGTAATCAAATAATTAATTATTGAAGAAATTTGAAGAACTTAGAAAATCATCAAACAGTTAGAACTGATATCATGAATCATCTTTCAGGTGGACCAATTGGTGGCATCCTCAGGTCCAAATTACATAGATGTTTGAATTCCCCTTCTTCTATAAAGCATATATGGTAATAGATGAGTTGTGCATGTATATCTTTTTGGTTTTATCAAATATTATATATGAAGAAATGATTCATAAATATATTGTCAGCTCCTTCTTATTTTCATAAAAAGTCTAGAATTGAATCTTATACCCTTGTCTGAAGGTTATAAAGGTACTCTGTGATTCTTCTCTTAGTAAAAATACCGATCCTTCAAATAACAAGATCTTTTACGACCCAAAGTTTATTGACATAAGTAACTCCTTAAATGAACTATCTCCTCTATAAGTCTTTCTTTTTATAACTTAAAAAATACTAATTTTCCATTTTGCAAAAGCTATCCAAATTGTTTACTCCATCTACGTTATCTATCGATTCGAAATAATCCCATTGCCTTATCACCACCCCAATTCGTTATTAACAAATTAAAGTTTACTTCTAGGTCCTTCAGTGGCATCTCCTTAGCTAAGTGGAATGAGATTATTCTTCTTATTTTATATTCTTACTATGATTCCTAAACTTAAATGATTTTCCTTTTCCTCTCATTTGGTTTACACATTAACACAAATCTTTTCTCTTAATCTCTATTAAGATTTTTATGAGGTAAAATGATGTGGCCAGCCATATGGCAATTCCTATTCTATCCTTTACTTACTTTTTAGTCTTAAGATTCTTATCCTATATAGAATCATACTACATTAAGTTACTTTGATAGTTGGGCTAATTGCATTTTAATTTGATCTTTGGCGTAGATTAGACAAATACTTAAGGGTTTCATTTAAAGAGGAAGATGTGAACATTTATGATTCACCTTAGATTATGCTAATGTTAATTATTATTTTTTATAGAAGAAATAACTTACCTGTTTCTTCTCTTCGCCTGAGTATTGCGTCTTATAATAATA